AAATGGCCCGAAGAGAGCCCTACAATGACCCCAGAGGACCCTCCCCAGTGTTCCCCAAGTAGCTTCCCCAAGCGCTGCCCAACACGCAGACCACTTGCACGGCCGCACAGCGATTCAACATTTCACAACACAGGCGTTTCCAGAGGGCGAGAGGCGATTGTGATTCGTCCTAGGCGTCTTCGACCTAGGCGTCTTCGATAAACAGACCCCCACAGGCCCCTTTCAGCTCAGCATAGATACCTTATGGGCACCAGGGAGAAATCACTCCAAGACGATGTCCCGACACCTTGCCCAGAAATGTCTTTGTAGTCGCGATGAAGAAATCCCGTAACGGGGGTGTCCTTATCTTCCACCTCCTCCTCCTCCTCCTCCTCTTCCTCCTCCTCCTCCTCCTCCTTCTCCTCATAGCCCCTCTGCCTCGAGGGGGACCCGAGGTTCACGCCGCGCATCCTCAGGGGGGCGCAGCGGCGCGGGGCCAGGGTGACACTGGTCCTGCAGACAGTGGCGACCACGGGCCGGAAGCGGAGGTTTTCGGCAAAGTCGTCACGGTGAAGCTGAAGGAGATGGCGCTGGTGGCGCTCGCGAAGGTCAGAATTCGGGTCCTTCATCGTGGGCCTCGGGAAGGCTGTTGCAGCGGTGCAGACGAGCTGGGTGCCGGACGACTACGTTTTCGCGGGCCTTTAAAGGCGATGGCATCGGTGCCGAGCTGCGACGTGCTGTTCGTGGGCCTCGGGGAGGCGATGGCATCGGTGCCGACCAAGGTGTTCGCATCCAGTGCCATCCTGCAAGGTCATCGGGAGGATGACGGTGCTCCGCTTCTGGGAGCTCTGAGTTTTGATCGGCCTCGGCGAGGCCTTCGAGGGAGGCTGGCCTAAGAGCGCCAGCCCCTCCCTCCTGCTCGGCTTGGCTCTCCGGGTCCAAGTCGTGGGGCCGGGAGGCGTGTCTCTGGTGGCGTGGCGCCGCAGAACTAGCCTCCCTTTCGCGGGACGCGAGGGAGCTAGCTCCATGATCCATTCCCATTCCCATTCCCTCCTCCTCCTCCTCCTCCTCATCCTCGAGGTCGTCCTCGAACTCGTCCGAATCCTCATGCTCATCCTCCTCCTCCCACTCGTCCTCTTTCTTCGCCTCATCCCTCTCGTACTCCCCCCCTCCTCTCACCCCCCCCCCCGCGCCCGACCCACCCCACACACTTCCTCCTCCCGTTCCTCCTGCTCCTCCTCCTGCTCCTCCTGCTCCTCCCCTCCTCCTCCCCTCCTCCTCCTCCTCCTCCATATCCTGCTCCTGCTCCTCCTCCTCCTCCTCCTCCTCCTCCTCCTCCTCCTCCTCCTCCTCCTCCTCCTTTTCCTCCTCCTCCTCCTCATCTTCCTCCTCCTGCCGCCGCACCAGAGCTCGCGCAACCCATGCGCACAAGCTCCAGGAGGCCAACGGCCAGTTGACTGGCCTCCTTGCGGCAGGCCCCCCGCCTGGACTCGAGTCGCAGCCGCCCGTCGCGTCGGGCGTACTGTACCACGAACTCGAGGAGAACCTCTGGACGCCAACTGCCATGCTGGTCTCCGACGTGGAGGCCGAGGAGCTGGTCACCTACGGCGACGGCGTCACGAACGAGCTGCTGCGGATCCTTGCAACGAAACAGCGCGCGGAGGATACGGAGCGAGATGTCGCCGCCGTACATGATGTCATCAATTTCTCGAACGCCGAGCAGATCGAAAAGGCCGTCGGGGAGAAGCTGCACGACGGCTTCGACATCCAGGCTATGGTTCAAGAGCATGCCCAGGGCACGGAGCCCTTTGACGAGGAGGGCGACGACGGCGACGGCATCGTGGAGTCCACAGACGAGCAGCAGATGGTGCAGCTCGCCGCGGAGCGGGCTGCGGAGCCGCCCAACCATGAGGCGATCGAGGCGTCGGAGACGACCCAGGAGGACCCTGTGCATTTCGCGCGGGCCGTGGAGGAGAAGATGCACGACGGCTTCAGCAGTCAGGCGGAGGTCCAGGAACAGTTCCTGAGCACAGAACCCTTCGATGAAGCTAGCCCCCACGACGACGGCATCGAGGTCAATTCCGCGGTGGTTCAGGAGCAGCTCGACACCACTAGCTGGAAACACCGCGCTGGCGAAAACTGGCTGCCCTTTCGGCACTCAGAGCGCAGAGATAGAGAACGCAAACATTCAGTTCGTTGAAGGAGACGGTGACCGATAGTGACAGTTGCACGCCTGTCCGACTAGATTTCGATTCTTTCGATATGCCGCAACGCTAAGCGAGCAAATTCCATAGCTTCCGTGTCAAGCTGTGGAGGCCACCAGTGTAGCGCTGCCCGCATTCACTGATGTATGAGATAGTTATGTTTGTATACAGCTGCTGCGCATAACAAAAATTACCCTGCGACGCACCCAACCCACGTGCATCAAATGGCAAGAGGAGTATGCCAACATTAGCAGGAACAACGACAGTGTAGACGCGGCGATTTGCTGCGCAAGCTACATGAGATGCGCATGCGTTGCACGATTCACAGGACGACGATCGAAAGAACGAGGCTTGAGGCCCCAGGATCGAAGAAGAACGGGCACGGGAACGAGGGGTAGGAGAGGGATGGAATGGAGGGCGGGGGGGGGCGAAAGGCCATCGCGGAAGCAGCAGCACGCATGGAGAAGGTGAGGCGGGGAACAGGACGACGATGAAAGTGGCGGGAGGAGACAGAAGACTGCCGCGTTTTTCAAGTGCGAGCTAAACCCGCAGCGCTGCCTGCGCCATGTCGTCGCAGAGTTCCACATGATAAAACTTGTTTAGAGTGCAAGGAACGAGCGAGGCGTAGCTCGCCCGCTAGCTTCTCCGCCTCCTTCCCGCACATTTCAGCGCGGGAGCTGAACGCTCGCAGGCGCGCCGCCAGGTCTGCGGGCGGCCCGCGGGAAAGAAACTCAAGGCCGGGGTCGCGTATCATCAATCGGTTGTCCATCGTCCAAAGTTGCACTGGCGACGTACTGGTTGAACGCGGAGCGAGCAGCATCACGCGCGTGCCTGAACGCCACGCAGGTACAGCGCACGCGCGATTGGGACTTCAGGTCGATCACGCGCGTCTCCGCCAGGCTTGGCAACACCACGCGACTGAGGATCTCACTGCGGTCTGCCATGCTGCTGTCCGCGAGTGCAATGCGCTGCCTGCAAGTAAGGCGGCGGCGTCCAATTGTCTCAGAAGATGTTCCCGCGGGCCCGAAGGGCGACCGCCAGCTCGAGCCGCGGCGCCGGCAGGCCAGATAAGGATCATGCAACAGCAAAGACGATGACAGAGCAACGAGGTATCGGCGAGTGCATGACCGGCCTCCGTTTCCTGCACTTCTTTCCTGTAGTTCCCCTAGCTCATCGAGCTCAGCAGATGTTTCTGCGGGTCCGAAGGACGACCGCCAGCTCGAGTCGCAGCGCCACGTGGCACGAACCGCAGAGCAAGGGCACGCGAGCATTGCTCGTGGTCAGAATCTGAGTCCCCGTGGTGCCTCACTCCGCTGGCCACCCACCAGCAGCCCTCGAAAGTGGCGACAGTTTCACAGATCGCAGCCGCCCAGGGGTGGCGAGGTCTAATCTGAGTCCCCGTGGTGCCTCACTCCGCTGGACCCACCAGCAGCCTCGAAAGTGGCGACAGTTTCACACAGGGATGGCGAGGTCTAATCTGAGTCCCCGTGGTGCCTCACTCCGCTGGACCCACCAGCAACCCTCGAAAGTGGCGACAGTTTCACATATCGAAGCCCCACAGAGATGGCGAGGTCTAATCTGAGTCCCCGTGGTGCCTCACTCCGCTGGATCCACCAGCAGCCCTCGAAAGTGGCGACAGTTTCACAAATCGCAGCCCCCCAGAGATGGCGAGGTCTAATCTGAGTCCCCGTGGTGCCTCACTCCGCTGGACCCACCAGCAGCCCTCGAAAGTGGCGACAGTTTCACAGATCGCAGCCACCCCCCAGAGATGGCGAGGTCTAATCTGAGTCCCCGTGGTGCCTCACTCCGCTGGACCCACCAGCAGCCCTCGAAAGTGGCGACAGTTTCACAGATCGCAGCCCCCCCCCCAGGGATGGCGAGGTCTAATCTGAGTCCCCGTGGTGCCTCACTCCGCTGGACCCACCAGCAGCCCTCGAAAGTGGTGACAGTTCCGCAGATCGCAGCCCGCCAGGGATGACGTGAAAGGCAAGAGAAGAGAAGAGGAGGAGCGAAGAGAGGAGGAGAAGGCAAGCAAGAGAGGAGAGGAGGAGGGAAGAGAGGGGGGGGGGCGGGAGGAGGAGAACGGAGACCGCTGTGCTCTATTCAAAACGAGTACCCAACGCAGGAGGGTTGGGAAAAAGATATTGGAGTTGATTGACCCATGCTCGTTGCGTACAGTGTGCGCGCATCTCTGTGGTATGCTGTTCCGCAGATGACAGTGATGTGTTCGGAAACCTTCCATGAGAAGGAGCGGATGTCTGCGCCGCCAGCAGGTCGACGAGCCATACATACCCTCGGTGCTTTCCTGCGCAGGAAGGGCGGCGGAGGCTACGCCCTTCGCCTAATTCGAATCGATATTCCTCCTCCTCATCCACCTCCTCCTCCTCACCATCATCATCATCATCATCTTCTTATTCTTCTTATTCTTATTCTTCTTCTTCTTCATCATCATCTTCATCATCATCAGCAGCATCATCAGCAGCATCATCATCATCATCATCGTCATCATCATCATCATCATCATCATCATCATCATCATCGTCATCAGCATTATCATCCTCATCATCAGCATCATCATCATCATCATCATCATCATCATCATCATCATCATCATAATCATCGTCATCGGATTCCTCCTCCCCTTCCTCCTGTTCCTTCTACTCCTCCTCCGCCTCCTCCTCCTCCTCATACTACTCCTCCTCATCCCTATCCTCTTCCCTCCTGCTCCTGCTCCTCAGCCTCCTCCCCCATCCTCCCCCCTCCTCCCTCCCCATCAGCCCCATCCCGCGTCCCTCTCCCCCTTCTGCCTCCTCCCTCCTCCCTCTTCCTCGCTGGCGGACTGCGACGACGTCGACGTTGGCGACCCGCGGCTCATGCCCGCAGGTGGGACCCGTTGCTAGGCGGCCCTCTCGCACTTGTCGATCGCGAGCAAGCCCAGGATGATGAGGCTGAGGGGGGCAAGGCGCAGCGTGAGGCCGAGAGCGTGAGGAAGAGGAGGAGGAGGAGGAGGAGGAGGAGCAGCAGGAGGAGGGAAGATGAGGGGAGGGAATTAGCAGAGGGCAGGGGATGTGACGGGAAGGATGGGGGCGAAGGGGGGGGGAGGGCCGGGAACGGGAGGAAAGTGAGGGGGGAGGGGCGGGGGGAGGGGGAGCAGCAGCAGCAGCAGGAAAAGAAAGGAGGAGGAGGAGGAACAATGGAATTGACCCTCCCTCCAAGCTCCCTCTTCATATGCCCCTACGACGGTTCATGTCCATTGAAGGAACTGCCTCGTTGGAAGACAACCGTTTGAAGATCCTGACGCGTGCCGAAACATTGCTGTCGGGAGGAATTCAACACCACGTATCAACCTGGCTGCTGCGTCTTGACGATCCGGAATCGTACCAGAGGGTCATTTGTGGGACTTCAACACCGCGAATCAACATAACGGTTGCACCCGCATAATCGTGAACCCTTCAGAAACACCATTTCTGGAACGCTGATCATGGGAACCCGAGAAACTCTTGCAATTTGTTTAAACGAACGTGCGCCGCGCTAAGGCGAGAGTCACATTTAAAACAAGAACCACCCTCAATCCGTGAAACCCGTGCGAATGTTTGAAATGAATGCGCGAGGCGCTAGGGCGAGAGCCACATTTTGAAAACCACCCACCCTCCATCCGTGAAGCTCTTGCAAACGTTTAAAAACGAAAGTGCGCGGCGCCAAAGCGAGAGCCACATTTTGAAAACTACCCGTCCTGAATCCGTGAAGCTCCTGCAAATGTTTGAACCATTGAACCGAATATGCGCGGCGCTGAAGCGAGACCAACATTTTGGCAACGACCCGTCCCCAATCCGTGAAACCCTTGCAAAGTTTGAAAAACGAATGTGCGCGTCGCTTAGGCGAAAACCGCATTTTTAACACGGACCGCCCTCAATACGTAAGGCTCTTGCAAATGTTGAAAACGAATGTGCGCGGCGCCAGGGCAAGAGCCACATTTTGAAAACGGCCCGCCGTCCATCCGTGAAGCGCTTGCACCTGTTTGAAACGAATGCGCGCGACGCTAAGGCGAGGGCCACATTTCGAAAACGAGCCGCCCTCAATCCGTGAAGCCCTTGCAAAGTTTTAAAGCGAATGTGCGCGGCGCCAGGGCAAGAGCCTCATTTTGAAAACGGCCCGCCCTCCATCCGTGAAGTGCTTGCACTTGTTTGAAACGAATGTGCGCGGCGCTAAGGCGAGAGCCACACTTTGAAAACGACCCGCCCTCAATCCGCGAAGCTCTTGCAAAGCTTGAAAGCGAATGTGTGCGGCACTAAGACAAGAGCTACATGTTGAAAACGACCCGCCTTCCAGCTGTGAAACTGTGGCCACGTTCTAACCTTCCGAATCATGAATGGTGATGAAGTCTCAGGCGGAGCGCCCGGCCCGCCCTCAAAACTGGTCTCGGGGTGCGACAGGAGGAATTACCCAGAACGAGACGGAATGGAGGCAGGAGGTATGGTGTAAACCCCAGACGCGCCATCGATGTTGCAAGAAACCCTCCCTCCAGGTTCCCTCTTCATAGGTCCCTTCGAATCATTACGGGAAATGTCCCAATGGAAGGCATCCGTCCTCGAATCCTGTATCGCACCAAAACGCCATTCCTGGGACTTCAGCGCCGCGAATCAATGCGACTGTTGCCCCCTCGCAATCCTAAATCGTCCTAGAACATCGTTCGTTTGACTCCAACACCGCGGATCAAAGTGACTGCTCCGCCCTGGCAATCCTAAGTCGCGCAAGAGCACCATTCCCAGGACGTCAACCACAAAAAACCTTGAATAAGTTGCAGTTGCTTAAAGACGAATGTACGCGGCGATGAGGTGATACCCACATTTCGAAAAAAGGAACGCCCTTCATCCGTGAAACTGTTGCAAGCGTGCAAGACGAACGCATGCAGCGCTAAGGCGAGGAGTACAGATTGAAAACGGCCCACCCTCCATCAGCGATGCTGTTACAAATGTTCAAAAGCGAATGCGCGCGGCGCCAAAGCGAGAGCCACATTTTGAAAACTACCCGTCCTGAACCCGCGAAGCTCCTGCAAATTTTTGAAACATTGAACCGAATATGCCCGGCGCTGAAGCGAGACCTACATTCTGGCAACGACCCGTCCCCAATCCGTGAAACCTTTGCACAGTTTGAAAAACGAATGTGCGCGTCGCTTAGGCGAAAACCGCATTTTGAAAACGAACCGCCTTCAATACGCAAAGCTCTTGCAAATGTTGAAAACGAATGTGCGCGGCGCCAGGGCAAGAGCCACACTTTGAAAACGGCCCGCCGTCCATCCGTGAAGCGATTGCACCTGTTTGAAACGAATGCGCGCGACGCTAAGGCGAGGGCCACATTTCGAAAACGAGCCACCCTCAATCCGTGAAGCCCTTGCAAAGTTTTAAAGCGAATGTGCGCGGCGCCAGGGCAAGAGCCTCATTTTGAAAACGGCCCGCCCTCCATCCGTGAAGTGCTTGCACTTGTTTGAAACGAATGCGCGCGGCGCTAAGGCGAGAGCCACACTTTGAAAACGGCCCGCCCTCAATCCGCGAAGCTCTTGCAAAATTGAAAGTGAATGTGTGCGGCACTAAGACAAGAGCTACATGTTGAAAACGACCCGCCTTCCATCTGTGAAACGGTGGTCACTTTCTAACCTTCCGAATCATGAATGATGATGAAGTCTCAGGCGGAACGCCCAGCCCGCCCTCAAAACTGGTCTCGGGGTGCGACAGGAGGAATTATCCAGGACGAGACGGAATGGAGGCAGGAGGTATGGTGTAAACCCCAGACGCGCCATCGATGTTGCAAGAAACCCTCCCTCCAGGTTCCCTCTTCATAGGTCCCTTCGAATCATTACGGGAAATGTCCCAATGGAAGGCATCCGTCCTCGAATCCTGTATCGCACCAAAACGCCATTCCTGGGACTTCAGCGCCGCGAATCAATGTGACTGTTGCCCCCTCGCAATCCTAAATCGTCCTAGAACATCGTTCGTTTGACTCCAACACCGCGGATCAAAGTGACTGCTCCGCCCTGGCAATCCTAAGTCGCGCAAGAGCACCATTCCCAGGACGTCAACCACAAAAAACCTTGAATAAGTTGCAGTTGCTTAAAGACGAATGTACGCGGCGATGAGGTGATACCCACATTTCGAAAAAAGGAACGCCCTTCATCCGTGAAACTGTTGCAAGCGTGCAAGACGAACGCATGCAGCGCTAAGGCGAGAAGTACAGATTGAAAACGGCCCACCCTCCATCAGCGATGCTGTTACAAATTTTCAAAAGCGAATGCGCTCGGCGCTAAGGCGAGAGGCACATGTTGAAAACGGCCGGTCTTCCATCTGTGAAACTGCACCACAAATTCAAATCGACTGCGCGCGGCGCTACGGCGAGAGCCACATTTTGAAAACGGCCCGCCCTCCATCCGTGAAACGATTGCCAATGTTCAAGACGAATGTGCGCGGCGCTGAGGCGAGAGCCACATTTTAAAACAAACCACGTTCCATCCGTGAAACGATTGCAAAGTTCAAGCTTCAGCGGTGAGGAAGTTGCAGGCGAAACGCCAAGCTCGCCCTGGTGACGCGTGTGCAGCGCGACAGGAAGGAAATATTCAGAAGGAAAAGGGAGTGAGGAGAACGAGCAGCAGCAACAGGAGGGGGGGGAGGTGGAGAAAAGAGGAGGAAGAGGCCGCGGCCTCGTGAGGATGGCGGGGGCGAGGGGGAGGAGCAGTGCCAGCACCGATGCCGAGGCAGAATCGGACGGCGACGAGGACGGCGGACGCGGACAGAGGACGACCCAAGACATCCGACGCCTTGTATTAAACAAAAAAACAAACACATGTTCGGACTTTGAAGCATCCGTCGCTGTGATTCGCTCAGGGATGTCGGTGGCACGCGCAGGGAGGTAGGGGGAGGAGGGAAGGCTTCTTAGAAGGAGGCTGCTTCTTAGAAGGCACTATTATGCTCAAGCTCTCTTCTTCTGCTTATCCGTGACAGGTGGTCGAAAAAACTATGATCCAAATAAAAAAAAAACGAACTGCTCAGCATGTGTGGGCTGTGACGACGAGTTTGCGTATACTCGTGCTTTGCCTTCCTCGTCCTCCTCCATCTCGTCTTCTCCCTCGTTTCACGATTGTCGACTATATCCTTGCATCTTTTGACTTCCGGCCAGCAGCATGAAGGCCTTGATGTGCGCCCACGAACGATGGCTCTTTCTGCGTAATCCTGCGTGCTGCCGAGATTGATGGTGGCTGCACTTCCAGGCTTGCTCGCGTATGCGTTTGCATTATCAATGCCGAGCGACTGCAAACTGAGCACGATGCATTATGTTCTCGTGAGTATTGCTCCCCGTGGTCATTGCGGCTCAGACGACAGCTCAGGGAAGTTGTCAAAACAAGAGGGCAGCAAGGACTGCTCGGGGGAACTGGTGAGGCCAGCCGGGCCTACCTCGCGGGCCTCCTGTGCAACCCGAGGCCTTACCAGACCCACTCCCCGGAGGCAGCGCTCCGCACGGAGCCCATGCCTTGCGGCCCCCGAGGGCCGAGGTCGAGGAGAACCGCAGGGACCGGAGCGGCGCGGCATCGGAGCGCCGAGGCCGTGACCCCTCGACGGCGCGAGAGCCACCCGGGCGCGGCGGCGGGCGGGCGGGCGGGCGCTCGGCCCCGCGTCGATGTCCGGCGACGTGGTCACCTCGCAGAAGCCCTGGACCCCGCGCTGGATCTGGGCCAGGAGCCGGCCCTGGCCGCTGACGGCGCGGGCCTCGCGGGCCTGGGAGACCGCGGAGAAGACCGCCAGCACGTCGAGTCCTCGTCGGCACCCTCGTCCTCGTCCTCGTCGTCGGCGTGGGCGAGGAGCGGGAGGAGAGGGGGGGAGGAGCGGCAGCAGGAGAGAGAGAGCGGGATCGAGGGGGGGAGGAGCGCCAGGGGGAAGCAGGGGCGAGGGGACGAGCGAGAAGAAAGAGGGCCAAAGGGGGAGGAGGAGGAGGAGGAGGAGGAGGAGGAGGAGGAGGAGGAGGAGGAGGAGGAAGACGAGGAGAAGAAGAAGAAGAAGAAGAAGGAGGAGGAGGAGGAGGAGGAGGAGTATACAGGAGGAGAAAAGGAGGGACCAGACGGAGAGAGGGGGGAAGCAGGGAGAAGGAACAGGAGGAGGGGAGGGAGAAGGGAGGAAGAGGAAGAGAATGAGAGGGGAGATATGAGGAGGAGGAGGAGGAGGAGGAGGAGGAGGAGGAGGGGGAAGGATGAGATGTGAAATCGCGATGTTACTTAAAGGTTCGGGAGGCGGTAACAAGCACAACGTGATGTCAGGGGGGGCGCGGAAACAAACGAGACATGAGAGAAAGACGATGGTGATGATGAGGATGATAATAATGATGGTGGTGATGATGATGATGACGATGACGATGACGATGACGATGATGATGATGATGATGATGATGATGATGATGATGATGACGATGATGTAAATTATGATGATGGTGATGATGACGATGCTGACGATGATGATGATGACGATGATGACGATGGTGATGATGAGATGATGTTGCTGATGTTGATGATGGTGATGCTGCTGTTGATGATGATGATGCTGGTGATGATGATGATATTGATGATAATAATGGTAATAATGATGATGGTGATGATGGTGATGATGGTGATGATGATGATGAGGAGGAGGAGTAGGAGGAGGAGGAAAAGGAGGAGGAGGAGGAGGAGGAGGAGGAGAAGAGGGCCCCCAGAGCGAGCCAATACATGACCCTCCCCCTTCCCCCCTCCCCCACCAGTCATCCTCCCCCTTGTCCGTCCCGCCCCGCCCCCCCGTGCTCGGAGAAACAAACCACGCCACGAACACGAACTTCTGGAAGCCGCGCGGATATCTCGGATTTCCGCTGTGGACCCCCCTCCCTTGCGCGCGAGGCGCGACAGGGGGCGGCGCCAGAGGCGCCGCCAGGGGGCCCAGCGCGGACCCAAGAAATCCGCGCGGACCTTCGAAAATGCATGTTTCCGTCATCGTTTGTTCCTCGGTCCTCCCCGCCACCGCCCACCCCCGCCAATCCTTCCCTCCTCCTCCCCTCCGAATTTTTATATGTGTCTGTCATTGTTTGTTCCTCGGTCCTCCCCTCCACCTCCCCCCCCCGCCAATCCTTCCCTCCTCCTCTTTGCCGTGGCCCGCTTCGCCGTAGGCCCGCTTCGACGGAGGCCCAATGCCGCCGACGCCAACGACGCCGCCGCCGCCACCGTCGCCGCTTCGGACGGGCCCTGACGGACGGGTCGGGTCGAGCAGGCGGGTCCTAACGGGCGGGTCGGGTCGGCCTTCCCCCCGCCAATCATTCGCTCCTCCTCCTCCTCCTCCTCCTCCTCCTCCTCCTCCTCCTCCTCCTCCTCCTCCTCCTCCTCCTCCTCCTCCCCCCGACCGCACACCCTGCTCCTTCTCCCCAGTCCATGCGGGCCGCGCCTTCCGGTGGCGCCCGGAGGCCAGGGGGACAGGGCACGCGCGGGGGGGGGGGGGGGGAAAGGGCGAGGAGGGGAAGGGGGGCAGGGAGGGGGGAGAGGGGCGAGGAGGGGAAGGGTGGGGGAGGAGCAGGGGGAAGGAGGGAGGGGCAGGAGGAGGAGGGCGGCTCCGAGGCCAGAGCTTGTCCAGCGCAAACAAGAAGAGGGCGAGGAGGAGGAAGGGGGAGAGGCCGAAGCCGACCGCAAGACGGCCCGAAATAGTCTGGCCCGAGACGATCCCCCGAGCTCCGACGGCCCGCCCCGTCCGCAGTCCGCACATGACAACGTAGTCCCCGCGGTTGTTCTTCTTCATGGTCGCGAACTGGAGCCCGTCGGGCCTCACCAGGAGTGCGCTTCTCTTCGCAGCAACGCGTGTTACCAGGGACGCTCCCCTTCCCTCCAAGGCCCCTGCGTCCGCGCTGCGCGCTCCGCTCTCGCGCCACCCCCCGAGGAAAAGTAGGAGGATGAGGATGGGGGAGGGGGAGGGGAGAGGGAAAAGGAGGAGGAGCGCGAAGCGCAGTTATATTCGCGCCCCTGCGCATGGCCAGGGGTAGCTCATTCTCAGACGGCGCGGGCGCGAATCGTGACGTCACCACCTCTTCCCCCCATGCTCCCCCCCCCATGTCACGGATCTCACCGTGAGAGAGTAAAGAACAGGCCCCAGGGTTGCCAGTCCGAACAGTAAGGGCCTCGCAAGGAGAGCGCTTCACCAAACCAAGGGATGCCTGCGGCTTCTTACTTGTTTGTCAAAGAAACCAATGGGTGTGGGGCCCTTCCAAGCCGGCCTTTCCTGGGGTTGCCCGGACGGGCCCGTGGTTGACCTTGCAACGACATGCAATGCAAAGCATGCTAAGCAACACCAAGCACAACACGAAGCAATGCCCAGAAACGCCAAGCGACGCGAAGCAATGCTAAGCCATGCCAAGCAACGCAAAGCAAGGGCAAACAATGCGAAGCAATGCCAAGCAACGCCAAGCAACGCCAAGCGACACCAAGCCATGCCAGGCAATGGCGAGCACCGCCAAGAAATGCCAAGCAACACCAAGCAACGCCAAGCGATACCAAGCAATGCCAGGCAACGCAAAGCGCCGGATCCAAACACTGCCAAGCAACGTCCAGCAATGCCGGGCAATGCAAAGCAAATTCCAAGCAATGCCAAACCATGCGACTATCCAAACAATGCCACGCAAGTCAAAGCAAGTACTTCAACAACTACCAAACAACGTCAAACAATGCGAAGCAATGCAGAACAATACAGAACCAATGCCAAGCAACGCCACGCAACGCGACGCAATGCCAAGCAATGCCACGCAATGCAAAGCAGTGGTAAACAATGCCAGACGACGCAAGGCAATGCCAAGCAACGCCAAGCAACGCCAAGCGACACCAAGTCATGCCAAGCAATGTCAAGCATCGCCGAGACATGCTGAGCAACGCCAAGCAACGCTAAGCAACGCCAAGCGGCACCAAGAAATGTCAAGCAATGCCAAGCATCACCGAGACATGCTAAGTACCGCAAAGCAAATTCAAACAATGTCAAGCAATGCCAAGCAACGAAAACCAACGCCCTGGGGGGACCCAGGGTTGCCCAGAAAGCCCGTGCAATGCCAAGAAATACCAGGCAATGCCGAGCAACACAAAGCAATGTCAACCAATACAAAGCAATGCCAAGCAATGCCAAGCAACGCAAAGCAACGAGTCCTAGCAACGCCAGGCAACACAAAGCAATGCAAAGCCAGGGAAAGCAACGCCAGGCAATGCCAAGCAACGCCAAGACAGAAAGGAATGCCGATCGCTAGTTCCAAGCAGTGCCAAGCAACGTCAAGCAACGCCGAGAAACGCGAAGGTCATGCCGAACATGCAATGGAAATCAATGCCAAGGAGTGCCAAGCCATGCTAAGCAATGCCAAGCAACGCCAAGCATCTCCAAGCAAGTCCAGGCAATGCCAAGCAATGCCGAGCAACGCAAAGCAACACATTACATCGCAAAGCAATGCCAAGCAATGCCAAGCAATGCCAAGCAATGCCAAGCAATGCCAAGCAATGCCAAGCAACGATGCCGAGCAATGTCAAGCAAACCTACGGAATGCAACGCAACGATACCAAACGACGCCAAGAAACGCAACAGCATAACAAAAAATGCCAAGCAATGCAAACAAAATGACACACAAGGCTTTGTATTGCATTGTTCTGCATTGCATCACTGTGTTGCATTGCTTCGAAAGACAGGAAGACCTGATCAGGGTCGCGATGGTTCCATTCAACAATTCACGGTAAGGCCCGACACCTGGCACGATCCACGCCAACCTCCCCCCCCGGAACGTCAAGATTTGCGCCGGCGCCGTTTGGGAATGGCCAGGGGTAGCTCATTCCAAGGCGGCGCTGGCGCAAATCGTGACGTTCTGGGCCCCCTCTCCCCCTGCCCTCCTACCCCGCAGTATCGACCGTCATCACGAGGGGGTATACAAGCAGGATCCGGGGATGCTGCTCTGAGCGGTAATGGGTGAACAACTTCTTCTGTCCATCGACTCGCGCTGGAGCTCCCGCGATCTGCTGCAGGGAAGCATGGGCATCTTTGATGTACGTCGAGATGTATGGGAGTACGTCGCCGCACGTAGATGCGCATAGATTCTATCTGGTTTGACCCTGCCAAATCGATTGGACAAGAGTCGTCAAGGCATGAGATCTGAAGGCAAAGAGCAAAAACGGCACGAACATCAACTTTCGGAGGCGCTCGCAGATTTATTGAGCTCTGGTGGCGGCGCCAGAGGATCCACACCAAGGGGGTGCGAGAAGGCAGCACATGTTTGTTAGTGCCGATGTTGTTTTTTCAAGAGGGGGTAAAGCATGCCACACACAGAGACACACACACATGCAACAAAAACACATGTAGTGAAAGACAAGCAAGCCCCTGAACCGATCCACTGATTCCGTCCCCCCTCCTCGGCATCCTCCTCTTTCCTCCGTTTCTTCTCCTTCCGATCATTATTCACAATCGCATGTTTCTGATTATTCTCGGTGTTATTACCATCACGTATCTGATCATTCGTCTTTTTCTGCTGAATACGATTTGGCGAAGTAGTCGTCTCATTTTTCTTCTTGGTACCATGATGATGGTGATGGTGAATGCTATTCCCCCTTGACGTTCTCAGTTTCTTGCCCTCCTCATCCTCTGCTGTCCTCATCACCATCATCATCCTCAAATCCTTTTCTGTCGAAACAACTCCTCCTGGTCGCACCCCGAGGCCAGTCGAAAGGGCGGGCTGGGCGTTTCGCATGAAGACTTCCTCACCACGTATGAACCTGAAGCTTAGAAGCTGGCAGCAGCTTCACAGATGGATGGCGGCTCGCTTCCAAAATGTGGCTCTCGCCTCACCGCCGCGCACATTGGTTTTAAACATATGAAAGAGCTTCACGGATTGAGGGCGGCTGGTTTTCAAAATGTGGATATCGCCTCAGCGCCGCGCACATTCGTTGCATAAGATGCAAGAGCTCCACGGATTGACGACGGGCCGTTTTCAAAATGTGGCTACCGCCTTAGGGTTGCGCACCTTCGTTTTAAAGATTTGCAAGAGCTTCACTGGTTCTCATGGTCGACCTACCAAAAACAATGTTTTGGGAAAGGTTCAGGATTGCCAGGGCGCAACTGGTACGGCGATTCGCGGTCTTGAAGTCCCAGGAATGGCGGTCTGGCGCGATACAGGATCGCCACGACGTAGCAGTCAGATTAACAGATGGCGCTGAAGTCCTGAGAGTAGTATTTTGGCATGCTTCAAGATGTTCACACGGTTGCCCCCCAACGGGACAATTCCCCCAGCGAGAATAATCCCTAGTAGGGGCCTATGAAGACGAATCTTGGGGGGGGGGTATTTCAACCTCGTTGTTGAGTCTTGTGTTTGCACTGGCCCTCCTCCTGCTCCTGCTCCTCCTCCTGCTCCTCCTCCTCCTCCTGGTCCTTGTCATCCTCATCCGCCTCCTTCTCCTCCTCGCGCTCGTCCGCTCTGTTCCTGCTCCTTACCCTGCTCCTCATCCTTCTCCTCAGCATCATCATCACAATCAGTATCATCATCATCATCATCCTCATCCTCATCCTCATCCTCATCCTCATCATCATCATCATCATCATCATCATCATCATCATCAGCATCAGCATCATCATCATCAGCATCATCATCATCATCATCATCATCATCATCATCATCATCATCATCATCATCCTCGGAAGAGCGGGAGGATCATCATCATCATCATCACCACCATCGTGTCCCTCATTATGCGGGTCATCCTTCGCCTTCATTTCCCTTCCTTGTAACAAATCCTGCTGTCGCACCACCAGACGTCTAGGCGTGTCGACTGAGACAACCTCACCGTTCACGACCTTGAAGCGTTGCCCATGACGACACCAATGTGTCTCGATGCTGACCGTGTTAGCTCGCGCGAGTGCCGTTCGCATCACGAGCCACGCGAAGCAGACCCGCAGCCCCAAACGAGAGGGGTGAATGCGGATGCTGCACTATGCAGCGCTGTACCGCGCAGGCCGAAGCAGCGACCCGAAAGCACTGTCGCAGCACATCACCAGCTGGATGGGGGAGGAAGGGAGGAAGCGGAGGGAAACTGAGCACGCCAAAGGGTGTCTGTCACGTGCATCGTCTGCTTAACATACCCTCGCGGACGCCTGACGTACAAAAGCAGCGGTCACAAGGGGAGGAGGGGCGAGGTGGGACGAACATGCGGGCAATGACTCGAAAACGCGCACGGCCGTCGACCTCCAAGTCAGATCAGGTCAACGAATTAAGCGGAGCGTTGGGCAAAAGCACCCACCAGCTTCATATGCCTGGATCGATTTCGCGCCGAGCACGCTCATCTTACAAGATAACAAACAGCTAGACAGATGGAGGGTCCATCGCTTTCGAAACAGCTCTCTCGCCTCGGCGCTGGGCACGCTCATCCCAAACACATCCAGCAGTTACACGGATGGAGGTCGAATGGTTTTCGCAATGGGTTTCTTGCACCGGCGTTGCGCACACTCGTCGCACAAAATCATACACTTACTCGGACGGAGGGCAATTCTTGTCCAGAAAAGGATTCTCGATTGAGACGTCCTCAGCATCTGCCACAACACATTCTTTTACTAACCATGAACGCTCTAACACCATTCGCCTCACCACGAAGGTCATGGGCCATCTCGGCGGGCAAGCTGCGGCCACAGACAGAGCAGCGGAGTTGGACTGTGGATTGCCGCGCCCATAAGCCACAACAAGTATGACGTGCAGTGCAACCGCTTCACGGAAGGAGGGATGCTCCCTTTCCAGACGGGGCTCTCGCTGGAGCCAGAAGGGCACCCGAGAGCGCTCCGAAGAGGCCCCAAACAGCAGTCCCTGAGGACTCTGTCCTTCGTAAGCGCCGTCGTCGTCGTCACCCTTTCAGAGTCGGCGGCACGGGCAGCGAGGCCTTCGCAACACGACGCTGTGCAACCGCTTCACGGAGGGAGTTTTCGTTGTGATCAGACCACATCACACCAGAGAATGTATTAACCAAGCATGGCCGCGAGGATTGCTTCGGCACAAAAAGAACTCTTCCAGACGGGGCTGGCTCTCGCTGGAGCTCAAAGGGTAACACGGCGCGACCGCCAACGGGGATGGAGGGCGCGGCTCCTTTTTTGTTCCACCCAAGAAGCGAGGCCGTCGCTGGGCACGCCCTCGGACTTTAAAACGGCCCCAACCTTGCCGCACACTCTGTAGAGCTCGAGGGGGAGGAGGAGGCGAAAGAGGGAGGAGGAGGTGGAGGAGGAGGAGGAGGAGGAGGAGACAGAGGAGGAGGAGGAGGAGGAGGAGGAGGAGGAGGCGACAGAGGAGGAGGAGGAGGAGGAGGTGGACGAGGAGGAGAAGGAGACAGAGGAGACAGAGCAAGCATCCCTCTGTCCGCGCTGGGGAGCGGCGCCAGAGGATGAGGAGGCAGCGCCGCCGCTGGCCGACATCGCTGCGCCGTGTGGCCGGCAAGCCGCTCTCAAGAGAAAATTCCCGCACGAATTTGCGGACCCGTGGTGCGCCAGTCTTTCAGGGGGGAGCTTCGCGAAATGGAAAAACACATTACTGTGGGGGCTGCTGCGAAGGGGGGCTTGGAACGCGAGGGTGCATTGTAGCATTGTCGAAACAGCTTGGCTTTACTCTGTCCTTCCTCCTCATCCACCTACTCCCCATCTTCCTTCTACCTCCCCTATGTTCCTCCATCCTCCTCGGGGAGGAGCCGAAGGTGGAAAGGAGAGAGGAGGGCGGGACGAGGGTGGAGAGTGCGCAGGCAGGAAGGTCGGAGGAAGGCCAGCTGGACAACGGCGGCTCTCCCGACTGACCCACATCCACTCCATCGGGAGCGGCCAAGAGGGGGGTTGTCCAAGAGGGGGGGGTGCAAATCATGACCGGCGGCATGTGCGCGGCCCAGCGGGGGGGCCAGGGACGCAATGAAATAAGAAGAGGCGCCATGAAATCTGGGGAAATGTCATGGCCCCCGCCATGATATCCACCCCCCCCGAGTCATCACCCCCCTCTTTTCCGCCCCCGACTCCAGACTGGTCCCCTGACCCCGCCCGGGGTCCATCCCGACCTGTCTCTCAAGGCGGATGTCCAGCCGCGGCGAAGAAAGGCCTCGAGGATGCCGCAAGCAGGGAGCGAGCTGCGCCAGGGAGGGCCGCCGCGGCCTCGACTGGCCCCCATCATCGAAGACGGGGGGGGGGAGGACAACTCCGCTCCCGAGGGGCAGCGCGAGGGGAGGGCTGGCTTCAAGTCGGGCCTGTCCCTCTACAGGGGGGGGTACTCAAAAATAGCCAGAAAGGATCGCCAGGGGACGACGTTTTGACTATTTTTGGATATGTTTGAGAATCTTTGTCTGACACTTTATTTTTCGTCCAAAATCCGCCTGTAGGGTAGGGAGACACGCCCGACCGAAGACTGGCTCGGTGGGGGAGCAGCACCGAGCTGCAGACGGCGAAGCATCGCAGACAGGTCGGCGACGGGACTCCGACAGCAGAAGGCGAAGGAGGCAAGGAAAGGAACGCCATCCACATAAGCTGTTGGCGCTCCGCGCGGACTTCGTGGATCCGCGCTGGAACCCCCTCCCTGGCGCGCGGAGCGCGCCGCCAGGGGGGCCTAGCGCGGATCCAAGAAATCCGCGCGGAGCGCCAACAGTTTACGTGGATGGCGTCTTCTTCCTCTTCTTCTTCGAAAATCCGCCCGTGCCTGGGCGGGGCTTTCGGGCCCCCATCGGCGATGAGTCTGCGCTGGTGGGTCGACGCAGCCCCCCCCGAGCCGAGGCCCCCGTCGATGACTTCAGCCCGCCACCACAGGGGGGCACAGTACAAGAGAGGGCCTCATGATGAGCAGCTTCGGCGCCGTTCCGCCAGGGCTCGACCACAGCTCCTCCGTCGAGACCCACGCGAACTGCTGGTCTCCCTCGAGCGTCTCGAGGTAGATGCCTCCGCCGGGGCGCTGGAGCGCACGCATCTCCGTGGCATGGCAGGGACGCTGCGGGCTCGCTTTTGCAACTGACACTTTCACGCCAAATCGGTTCGTTCTCGCTCTCGCTTTCTTGAAGATTCCGCGCCGCCGCGGTCGTGGTTCGTTTTTTAAACTAATGGCTGGGGGGGCGGGTCCTTCGATTACAGTTTGGTTTCTCGAGTCGCCCGGAGGGTACACAGAGTGTCGGAGGTCCACGCGGAGTTGTTGGTTCGGCGTTGGGCCCCTGGCGTCGCCTCCGGCGGCAGAACCAGGGTCCAGCGCCGATCTAAGGAGTCCGCGAGGACCTCCGAGAGTTTATAGCAATGCCATGCCTTCTTCGAGAAGAAGCCATCGCCCTCCTCCCCCTCCTGCTTCCCTCCTCCTGCCCCATCCTGGAATCTTGGTCGGTGATCCTCTGTCCTGCCTCTTCTCTCCTCCCTTCTGCCTCCTCTCACCGCCCCATCTTCGTCTTCCGCCCTTCAATCCCTCTTTACATACCTCCTCCTCCTCCTCCTCCTCCTCCTCCTCCTCCTCCTTCTCCTTCTCCTCCTACTCACTATAATCATCATCATCGTCATCATCATCATCATCATCATCATCATCATCATCATCATCATCATCATCATCAGCATCATCATCAGCATCATCATCAGCATCATCAGCATTATCAGCATCATCAGCAGCATCATCATAAACATCAGCATCATCATCATCAGCATCCTCATCCTCATCCTCATCCTCATCCTCATCCTCATCCTCATCCTCATCCTCATCCTCATCCTCATCATCATCATCATCATCATCATCATCATCATCATCATCATCATCATCATCATCATCATCATCATCATCATTCCCCCTCCTCCTCGACCCACATTCCTCCACGTCTCCTCGTCCCTCCCAAGACCTCCGATAGCGTCACTGGAGGTCTCGACCGCTTCCTCGGCACCTGCTGTGACGTCCCCAGGGGCCACCAAAAAGGCCTCCATTGACTGAACCTTGCCAACAAAAAAATCCGTCGTGACCTTCTCCCTGCACGATGGGGGCCTGGGTCTGGGGGTCCGACCCCGACCGCCGGACCCAGACCTGGGGCGCGCCTGGACCTAAATTTATGTCGGGCCTGTCCCACTACAGGGGGATTTTGGACGAAAAATTTAAAAGTACTCCGAAAATATTCAAAAGATGCCTAAAAATACTCACTAAAAAGTCCCCAGATTTCTGACTATTTTTGAATATTCCCCCTGTAGAGGGACAGGCCCGACATAAACCTAAAGTTGGAAAGAACTAGGTCGTGACGACGAGAATGACCCCAAAGGATCAGACTGAAAGAAGAACCAGGAGCACATGGCCGGATTCACATCCGGGCCAGCGAGAGGCCACGCGCGGGCTGCGCGTGCGGAAGCCCTGCGAGTCAGGCCGTGGAAGGAACGAGCGCTGGAGAGGGCATCTGGCCACGCGTGCCTTCAGCTCTCGCCCAGCCGACCGCGCCACGTGACCGACGCCAGAAACTCTCGGTAAGGGAAGTTCGCGCCGTGCCGTCTTCAGCGCTGGCTTCTGACACCGCCGGGATCGTTCCACCTTGAACGATGGCCGCTTGCGAAACGTCAGATCGTTCAACGTCGACCGATTCTGGGTCGCCAGCGGCGTTCAGCGTTGAGCGCTGGCCGCGGGGTCACCGCCGGTCGACACAACGCGAACCTTCCGCACAAGCCACGCTGGCGTCTTTCCTTCTGCATCCGCGGGCGGACCCGCCGCCTCTTCTGCTGCCGCCCGAAGCCCTGCAAGTCTGGGAAGCCAATAACCCCCCTCAATTAGGGGAGCAAAGAGTGACGTAAACATAAAAACTCGGAGGTCCGCGCGGATTTCTCGGATCGGCGCTGGGGCCCCCCGGCGGCGCCTCCGGCGCCGCCCCTGGCCCCTGGCGCGCTCCGCGCGTCAGGGAGGGGGGGCCAGCGCCGATCCGAGAAATCCGCGCGGACCTCCGAGTTTTTATCTTTATGTCACTCTTTGCTACCCGATTAATTGTAGTAATTCCAGGCTTCCCATAACTCCGAATCTTGTGGGAAACCCATCGCCGGACGACTGCCACTGCCGCCGACCTCCGCTGGCCTTCCGCTGGCGCCCACCCAGAGGGCCAGAGACGCACCGAAGGCGAGGCCCTGTCTCGGCGGTGGACAAACCTCCCTTTAGTAAACCTCCCCTCAGTGAAAACGGCCTGGGACCGAAACCGACGGAGCTGGACCCGCAAAAATGACGGCCGCGACGCCCTCTCGCGAACCGAAAACGGCCAATTCCTTAATCGACGTGTCAGGGTCGGAGGTCTATCCACCTCCGACTGTCCTCTGGAGCGCACAGCGTGCACAGCCGGTGCTCGCCCGAGGCCAGCCGCGCCACGTGCACCCACAGCCCTCCCGCACCGCGCCCCCGGTCGTGGGCGGGAGGCAGCTTAGGAAGCCCCCCTCCTCCCCCTTTTTCCCCCTCCTCCCCCTCCTCCCCCTCCTCCCCATCCCCCGCTCACTTTTGGGGCCTATTGGGGCGCCGCTTGGAGGCGTCTTGGGGGCATCTTTGGGGGCCTCCCGGAGCCTCCTGGGCCTGGGTGGCCTGCCGGCGGTCTCGGGGAGCCTCTCGTCGGCGGCGAGCCTCGGGGCGGGCCTTCTCAGAAGACTCGGTGGTCCCCCGGCCTTCACATAAGTTTTTGTTATGGAAGCCTTCCGGGCTTCTGAGAAATCCCGCTGCCCTCTGAGAAGGCCTCCTCCTTCTCACTTCCCCCCCGCGCTCGCCGCCGATATCAGTAGACTGCATCATCGTAAACAGTCGAAGGTCCGCGCGGCTTCTTGGGTCGGAGCTGGAAGCCCCTCCCTGGCGCGCGGAGCACGCCAGCGGCGGCGCCAGACGCGCCGCCAGAGTATGCCGCTGTACCTTCCTCGAGCCTTCTGGCAGACCCTCGAAGCTTGATCTTCGAGCTCCCCCTCCAGGCAGTGCCAAGGGTTCGCCACCTCCAAGAAACGCCCCCTCCCGGAACCCACCAGAACTCGGCCATCCACCCATCCCTCCCCGTCGACCCTCGATTCCCAAAAGGAGGTGGTGACCGCCCTGGTGCGAACCATTCCGGGACTCCGCGACTCCTTCCTAAAATGCCTGGGCCCCACTCCCGAGAACCAGCTTTCCGCCCCGGCCAATGCTGGACAATCCCGAGGCCCAGTGAGGACCCCCGGAGGACGAGAACTGTCAAAACCCTCCCGTCCTGACTGCTTCGCGGCGCGAGGCCGTCAGGGTCCCGGCGTCCATACGCGGCGCGCTCTGGCCAGGAGTTCCGAGGCGGACCCAGCTGTGGCGACGAGAAGCCCCACGAGCAGTCTGGGGCGGCCTCGACACCCTGGCGCCGCCTCTGGCGGCGCCCCTACGGCGTACAGTCGAGGCGTTGACCTGAGGAACCCTAAACAAGGAACAAGGCCCCTTTTTCCCATAAGTTCAACCTCGGTTCCCCATGGAACCCTCAGGAAAACCCGAGGCAAACGTTGAAACAATCGAACCCCGCGCCCCTCCCCAACGGAAAAGGTTCCTCAGTCAGCGCCCCGACTGTATTGGGTCGGCTACACGCAAGAGCGACGCCGGGCAAGAGTGACCTTTGGCGCGCCGCGGCCTAACGGGGGACGCGGGCTGGCAACGCCTGGGCGCGCAGGCCGCTGCTACCGCTTCGCACCCGGCCCTCGGGGGACCGCCTTGGGCCCACACCTAAAGGCCACTCCAGCGAAAGGTCACTCTTGCGCCTAGTCTGAAGTCGGGCCTGTCCCCCTGCAGGCCGGTTTTGGACGAAAAATGAAACATACCAAAACGAATACCCTACAAACTCCTTAACAATGGCAAAACAATAGTCCCCAGAATATGTTTTACTACTTTTGAATATTCCCCCTGTAGAGGGACAGGCCCGACTTAAGTGAAGGGGCCCAAGGACACACAAATAAATAACACAAATAAAAGGATTCCCAAAATGTTTCCATATTTTCTGGATGTTTGTCTTTCCCCCACACTTCCCATAGTTTCCCATATTGTCTGGGGAGTCGACGAGTAATTGTGTCTGTGTTTTTTTCTCCTGATCAAGCCTAGTCGGTTGGGTCGCTCCGCGCCCTGGGGCTCGGGTGCGGAGACCGCCCTGCACTGCTCGGGGGAAGGAGGAGGAGGAGGAGGAGGAGGAGGAGGAGGAGGAGGAGGAGGAGGAGGGGGAGGAGGATATGAGATATGAGATACAAAGGGGACGCAGTGTCCCACCAACCACCCTACGGGCTCTCAGGAGGTCCCTCATTGGAGCCCTTAGCAGCAGAGCACTCTGGAGGTTCCTCGTTGGAGCCCTCGAGAGGAGCCGCTCCAACTCCTGACTGCAAAATCAGGGATGCATCCTTGGCCCCCGTAGGCAAGCCCGCATAGCTCGGGAGCTTGCCCTGCTTGATTCGCGAGAGGTTCTGACGCCCCCTCTTGGTGGGGCTGTGGCACAACTCGACCAGCCCAGCAAGCCTGGTGGTGGCCGTCGAGCCGCACACATTGCAAAAATACAGCATGTGCTCCTGCCACAAGTACAGCTCATGTGACTGGTGGACCTCTTGGTTCCCAAGGATCACGTACGAATTACTCTTCACAATACAGCTCGGGATCCCCACTCCCCCGCAAACTCTGGGCGCAGGGGCAGGGGTGCACGAAGACTCGACCGCTTCCTCGACCCTGGACCCAGGAACCGAGGAGGGGGAGGAGGAGGAGGAGGAGGAGGAGGAGGAGGAGGAGGAGGAGGAGGAGGAGGAGGAGGAGGAGGAGGAGGAGGACGAGGGAGGGGAGGAGGGGGAGGGGAGGGGGAGGGGGAGGAGGGAGAGGAGGAGGAGGAGGGAGGAGGAGGAGGAGGAGGAGAGGAGGAGAGAGAGGAGGAGGAGGAGGAGGAGGAAGGAGGAGGAGGAGGAGGAGGAGGGGGAGGGCACCTGCTGAGGGCCAGCTGGGACTGCCCGGAGGAGCTGCATGGGCGCAGCCCGAAGCCTCGCCGACCCGGCCTCGCGGCCCTCCCCTCCGCGGGGCCTCGGGCTCCCGGCGCCGCGCGCTCGCCCTCGGACACGCGGGCCCGGAACAGCGGGCTGCCGCCTTTGGGGGGGCGGGCACGACTCCCTCCTCTCCCCTCCGCCTCCCCCCCCTGCTCCTGCCCCTGCCCCCCTCTCCTCCTCCTCCTCCTCCCCTCCTTCCTCCCTCCTCCTCCTCCTCCTCCTCCTCCTCCTCCTCCTCCTCCTCCTCCTCTGGCATGCGTTTCGCTCCCCTCCCTGGTGCTTGCAAGGCAAGGTGGTCCTGGCCTTCGGGCTCCACCGTGAAGGTGCTGGGGCGGGGGGGTGAGGTGTGTGCCTGCCTCCTTTCTGCTCTGGATCCAACTGCCCTCCGGCTTCCGCTCGCTCGCTCCTCCTCCCCCGTCCTCCCTCTGCTCCGTAGCCATTTCGGCGCAAGCCTTTTTGGCTAAAGCACTGGCTCGAGGGCCGTCCGTACCGTGTTGCTCAACCAGCGTGGCTTGCAAGTCGCGTCCAGAGCCGCAACGGCGCGCTCAGGTGACACCGCGTCGTCAACACGTTTTTCTTCGTGCGTTGCCAGAGCAGGCTCAAGTATTACCGCTATTCCTGTCATTGTAAAGTTGGGGCAGTGCGGCGTACGGCTGGGATCCCATCTTTGTCATCGACGGGATTCAAATGGTCCTCTGTGCTTTTGCGCACGTTTCATGTCTTGACAACGTTCACCAACAAGAATGCTGGGCATCACAGAGTTCGGCCGTGCCGCACCCTTTCAGTCTTTAATGTGTTATTCCCCACATGCTTCGTGGGGTTCTGGTTCTCTTCCCTGCCGCGCCGCACCCGCGTCTCACCCGCACACCTCCACCTCCGTCTCTCTCTCTCTCTCTCTCACACACCTCACTCTTCCCCTCCTCCTCACAGCACTGCTCAGCACAGCTCAGCTCAGCTCAGCTCAGCACAGCTGAGCACAGCTCAGCTCAGCTCAACTCAGCACAGCACAGCACAGCACAGCACGGCACGACACAGCACAGCACAGCTCACCGCACAGCAGCACAGCACAGCACAGCACAGCATAGCACACAGGGCATTCCTTCGACGCCACAGGGGGTGCGCTTGGGGTGGGGGCCCTATGCGCTGCAGGCCCCCAGGGCGTGGCAGGCGTGGCATTTCCTCGACGCCGCAGGGGGTGCGCTGGGGGTGGGGGCCCTATGCGCTGCAGGCCCCCAGGGCGTGGCAGGCGTGGCATTTCCTCGCCGCCACAGCCACAGGGGGTGCGCTGGGGCTGGGGGCCCTATGCGTTGCAGGCTCCCAGGGCGTGGCAGGCGTGGCATTTCCTCGACGCCACAGGGGGTGCGCTGGGGGTGGGGGGCATATGCGTTGCAGGCTCGCAGGGCGTGGCAGGCGTGGCATTCCCTCGACGCCACAGGGGGTGCGCTGGGGGTGGGGGCCCTATGCGCTGCAGGCTCCAAGGGCGTGGCAGGCGTGGAATTTCCTCGACGCCACAAGGGGTGCGCTGGGGGTGAGAGGGCGTGGCAGGCGTGGCAGTTCCTCGACGCCACAGGGGGGGCGCTGGGAGGTAGGAGGAGGAGGAGGTAGAGGAGGAGGTAGATGAGGAGGAGGAGGAGGAGGAGGAGGAGGAGGAGGGGGAGGAGGAGGGGGAGGAGGACGGGGAGGTGGGGCAGCAGCAGCGGCAGCAGCAGCAGCTACTGCAGCAGCAGACGCAGCAGCAGCAGCAGAAGCAGCAGCAGGAGGAGGACACCGAGGAGGAGAAGGAGGAGCAGCAGCAGAAGCACCGATGGTACACATGGGAAATAAAATAGGTATGTAGGGGTTCCTCGGTAGCGTAATTGCACTGTAGGCGTGCAGCTGTGTTTCGCGGCGGTCTTCGTGTTGTGCAATTAAAGTGTTTCCAATAGTACAAACACCTTCTTGATCAGCATCCACCCCAAGGGGAGGAGAGGAGACAGAAGGGTGCGGCCCTGGCACTAACCGACCTCCCCTTGGGTGCACCTCAATCGTGGAATCTGTGGGAGGCGGACTGTGCATGCAGTTCTGCCGTGTGGAATTGACAAAGCGGTAGTATTGGGATAGTGTGGCGGTCTGCCTCGAGAGGCTGTGCACTTTTCGCTTTCTCACTGCTTCACGACCGTGGTGTTTAGTATGGTTTCAGTTCCTGGTGGTGTGGCCTAGAGGGGTTGAACATCGTGCACCGCTTCATGTTTCTCCTCCAAGCCCGGCTCAGAGAAACGGCCGCCACCCACAACCGCCTCGGCCCCCGCGAGCAAGCAAGCAAGTGCCAGCGATGATACAGTTTAGGCTGCCGGAATAAGCGAAGCGATCGGATAACCTCAAAGATGCTGGATCCCCCTCAATAGAAGATCAAACTGATACGCGGTCTGATCGGGGGCGGCTCCCCAGTTCTAGGCCGCTCGACATTGATGGGGGAGACCCGCCAGGTATGCGGCGTGCACTTCCGCCAACCCCGAGGCGCGCGCATGCCCAGGCAAATCACGCAGCTGGCATTGAGGCAAACTGAATAAGAGAGGATTGCAGGACCGCCTGGAACCCTCCTCATCCCTCCTCGAAGTCTTGCCTCCTGCACAGCAATGAGCTCCTCCTCCTCCTCCTCCTCCTCCTCCTCCTCCTCCTCCTCCTCCTGATCCTCAGGGCGCTGCGGTGGTGGAAGACGCGTGCTCTCCCTCTCCCAGCCGCCGAGCGAGGGCACGCTGCAGATGTTGATAAGGGTGTCCTGCCTCCTCGGGGGCCAGGGGTCGGCCGCGGACACCGCTGGAGGATAGCGGCCCTGTGGGCATCCTCCTCCTCCTCCTCCTCCTCCTCCTCCTCCTCCTCCTCCTCCTCCTCTCCTATCCTCCTCCTCCTCCTCCTCCTCCTCCTCCTCCTCCGCCTCCTCCTCCTCCTCCTCCTCCTCCTCCTCCGCCTCCTCCTCCTCCTCCTCCTCCGCCTGCTCCCGTGCGGCAGCCCGCCGCGACGACGGGCCTGAGGCATCCGGGAGCACAGCAGCAGCGGCGGGCAAAGCTGTGCCCGCCCACGTCGCCGAGCCGCAGCCCGACGGCGCGGGAGATGTCAAGTCCTACGTCAGGGTGGACACGCTGGGCAAGCGCCAGCAGCCCAGCACGGCCAAGTGCGACTGCTGGAAGGCATAGGCGAGCTACTACCAGGAGCAGGGGACGGACGAGTACCAGGTGCCGAAGCGGCTGAAGACAGTGGAGGGGCAAGACTCAGTCTCGCAGATGTAGAGAGCATCGGGCAGGCAGCTGGCTCTGAAAGCGAAGGGGAAGGGAGTATCCGACGCCAAGGGGCCGAAGAGCAACTGGTACTAAGAGTGGAGGGCGGAGAAGGGGTCCTGGAGCTGGCACAGGGGCTTGAAACATCCAGCTCCGGGGAGTGCGATCACTGCGAGGCGTGCTGGGACCTCGAGGCCGCTCTCGACACGTGTTTGCACCCGCCGCGACAGAGCGAGGAGGTGGGCAACAGCGTGGCCCCAGGACTGCACCGTCCCAGAGGGCGCCTGCGCTGGCGAGGCCGCTGGGGCCGCCGGGGAGGCTGCCGGGGAGGGTGCCGCGGCCCCTCGCTGGTGCCAGGCCTGCATGCGCGCAGCTCGACCAGGAGGCGTCGCCGCGTGGCCGTGGAGGGACGAACGAGCGCCTCGCGCAGCTGCGCCGCGACAATCCCGGCCTGGGCGCAGCTGCCAGGGGCCACGCCATGCCGGGCCAGGCGTCGCTGGGCGGACCTCGGCGCAGCTGCCTGGCCACGGAACCCGCGGGCGAACGCGAGCAGCAGGGCTTGGACGGCCACGGCGCCGAGGGGCATGTGACGGAGTGCATGCTGGAGCTCGGCCTCGAGGAGACAAGCACCTCGGGCAAAGGTTACCGAGGCCAACATAGGCCCGATGACCGAGGAGGAAAGGGTGCCCCTGCTGATGCATGAGCTGCACCTTGACACCTTGGACGGGAAGGGCAAGACAGAGGCCTCCGTCGCTTTGCGGGGGTATGTCCAGTTTTTCGCAAGCTCGCTGGAGCTCGATGCCAAAGCCATGGCCGACAGCATCAATAATGACGGTCTCGTTCGAGGGCGACTCGCTCGGGCAGGAGACCTGCGAAGTGGACTCCTGAGCGGGCTGCCGTCGATTCAATCATTGGGCTTTCGTCGGCCGCTGGGCCCATCGTCGCCACGGTTGGACTCGGGTCGGAGAGCTGGGGGCCTACCCTGAGGCCTGGCTGGGTTGAGGGGTAGAGCCATGTTGCCGTGGGGGGCGGCCATCTACGGCCTGGCCCTGAAGGCCAGGCGCGTGTCTCGAAACCTGCGCGGGGCATAGAGCGCCCAAGACGGGCAAAGCTTGGTTTTGACCAGGCATTCATGCCTGTAGCCTTCAGTTTTCTCCTTTTCTTCCTCCTCCTCCTCCTCCTCCTCCTCCTCCTCCTCCGCCTCCTCCTCCTCCTCCTCCTCTTCCTTCTCCTTCTCCTCCTCCTGCTGGCGGCTGTACAATCGCCGTGCTCTGGGGCGTGGCGGTTCACACCAGTAACATCCGCCCCGCCCCAACCCAGTGCAAGCACGCCAGAGAGAACATTGTTGTGGGTCCACTGGTGTTTTTTTGCAGCATCCTTCGCGGGTTTAGCACCAACCCTCTGGTGGCGAAGGGCCCGGTTAAATCGGATAGCGCGGTGTAGGCCGACCCTGTCAAACAGGTGCGCGGGCGGGCGAAGAGGGAGAGGGAGACCCCTGGGGGGCGGTCGCAGAGACGGTGGAGCCCGGGGGGAGGGAGACCGAGGAAACTATCTCTTGAAAGGAAAAAGGGAGAGGGACGATGGGAAGCTCTTCGAGACAAAGTGGCGGCAGGTGGCAGGCGGTCACGCAAGAGTGAGTAGATGCAGGCTAGTGGGGCGAGGGCGGCCAGGAGGGAGGGGGGGGATTGGGCGAGGTGGCTCATGTCCCCAAGCCTGCGGCCGCTGCTTACAAAAGTGGCGGCTCACCACCTCGTCCCGTCGTCTGGGCCGCCCAGGCGTCGGGCAGTGGCCTCGGCTGCCCCTGTGGCCGCTTCCCCGGGCATGCACCTCACGGGCTCCCTCTCAGGGCACGTGGCCACTCGGGGCGCGGCCGTCGTGGGGGTCGCGGGGGCCGTCGGGTAGGGCACGGGGTCGACGGGGCTTCGCAGGGGCTGTCGGGAAAGGGGCCGCGGGGCGCAGAGAGAGAGAGAGAGGTCGCGGGGAAGGGGGGAGATGATCATCTCCGCTTGTGCTGCTGCCAGCTCTGTCGCCAGGCGGCAAAGAATGGGTTCGGCCTGTCGGAGTCGTCGGAAATCTCGTCCTCGTCCTCCTCGTGGTTTCTCTCGTCTGAGAAGACGTCGCCGTTTTCGTGGCCTCGCTCGTGCTGCTGGGCGTAGTAGACGCTGTGCTCGCCGCAAAAGTAGCCCGAGTTCAGGCGCTGCGCTGAGGCGCGCGGCTGAAGGCCGCGCTGCTCGCCCCTCGCTCTCGTTGCGCAGCCGGGTGTGGCGGCTGCCCGTCGTAAGGGCAACGGCGCGCTCGTGCGGTACGTAACCGCTTGCCCGAGGCCCCGGGGCGGGCGCGCCCTCCTCCGCTTCCTCGGCCTCCCCTTCGTCGGAGCCGTCGTGGTGTCCGTGGTCGTCGTTTGGGGTCGTCGGTGAAGCCGTCGTGAAGGCCGTCGTGGGGGCTGTCGCGGGGGCCTTCCTGGTGGCCGTGGCCATCCTCGCGCCCGCCTTTGCGGTCGTTGGTGTCGGCGTCGCAAAAGGGAGAGTCATTGGGGCCGTCGGGTCGGGCGCAGAGTCCCGGGGTGGGGGGTCGCGCGAGTGGTCTGGTTGAGTCGGGAGTAATCGTGGAGGCCGTCGGGCACGGGGTCGGGGGAACGGGGTCGTGGGGTCGGGGGTCTGGTCGTCCGTGGGCCGTCCAATTGTCCGCGAGGCAAGCGCTGTCCGCGTAGCCGAGGCAGTCCCAGCGGGGGGTCGGGCGCGGAGTGCGCGTCGGGCGCGGCGTCGGGGCCGTCCGTCGCGGAGGCCGTCGTGGGGGCCGCATCGGGGTTCGTCGTGGTGGCCGCCGCGTGACCGTCGTGGGAGGCCGTCTTGGTGGTGGGTCGTGCGGGCCTTCGGGTGTGGGCGGAAGGGTCGTGGGGCGGTCGGGGGTGTCGGGGGGGCTTCAGGGGCTGGCTCAGGCTGTCCGTACGGCCGCTTCCCAAGGCATGCCCCCCGCGGGCTCCCTCTCAGGGTATGCGGCCACTAGCCCGCCGCGGGACAGGCGGCGCAGGCTGTGAGCTGGCCAGCCACCCCTATGGCCGCTTCCCCAAGTATGCCCCTCGCGGGCTTCCTCTCAGGGCACGCGGCCACTCGGGGCACGGCTGTCACGGTGGCCGTCGGGTGGGGGGGCGTAAGAGCCGTCGTGGGGGTCGTCGTGGGGGCCGTCGCGTCGCGGGGGTCGTCGCAGGGGTCGTCGTTGCGGGTGGGGGCAGGCGTGCGCGGGGGCCGTCGTGGAGGCCGTCGTGGTGGTGGGTCGTAGGGGCCGTGGCGGCGGTGGGTCGGGCGGGGGGCTCCGTGGGGTGGCTTCGGCTGTCCCTATGGCCGCTTCCCCAGGTACGCCCCCCGCGGGTTCCCCGGGTATGCACCCCGCGAGTTCCCTGTGGGACACGCGGCCACTCGGGGCACCGCCGTCGCAGTGGTCGTCGGGTGAGGGGGAGCGGGGTCGTCGTGGGGGTCGTCGTGGGGGCCATCGCGGGGGTCGTCGTGGGGTTCGTCGTGGGGGAGGGGGGAGGCGTGCGCCGGGGGTGTCGTGGGAAGCCGTCGTGGTGGTGGTGGTGGGTCGTTGGAGCCGTCGCGGTGGTGGGTCGGGTGGGGGGCTCCGGGAGGGGGTTTCGGCTGTCCCTATGGCCGTTTCTCAAAGCATGCCCCTCGCGGGCTCCCTCTCAGGGCACGCGGCCACTCGTGATGCCGAGCCCGCCGCGGGGCAGGCGGCGCCAGCTTTGACCTGGCCAGCGGCCCCTGTGGCCACTTCCACTGGTATGCCCCCTACGGGCTCCCTCCCAGGGCATGCGGCCACTCGGGGCGTGGCTGGGGGGGCGTGGGGTCCGTCGTGGGGGGCGCGGGCAAGGGGTGGTGGGGGTAGGCGTAGTAGGCGCACGCCGGGATGTAGGGAGGCAGACGGAGAACCCAATCGTCGCCGTAAGCGTCGTTTGCTTGGGAAGGGTCCTGGCCCTATTTCCTGGTGGCCGGGCAGGCCGCGGCTGTATTCCAGTGCGCTGTGGCAAACAAGAAACCCCTTTATGACGATATACTTGGTGGTCTGGCCGTACTTGGTGTCGTCGGCGACGTCAGGTTTGATGGCGTCGCTGTTGAAGCGTTTTCTGTTGCTTCAAACACCACTGTCCGTGCGGCGTGCCGCTCGCCAAGCCGCGTTTGGCCCGATGTCTATGATCTGCCTGGCTCGGAGAGGTGGCTGACATTGGAGCGGTGGGGTTTGCTGCTGGTGCATGTTTGGGCCGCCTCGCAGTCGGGCAACCTATCGTAGCATTGCACACGTCGACGTCGAGGAGCGTCGCAGGCTTCTCGGCGCCAATCGCCGGGTGCCGCGCTTCGCCTGTCGCCCGCTGCTGGACCCCCCACCCCTGTGTCGAGGGCTGGGCGGGGAGCCCGCGCGCCCAAGTCTGGCAAGGGCTTCCTCCTCCTCCTCCTCCGCCTCCTCCTCCTCCGCCTCCTCCTCCTCCGTCCTCGTCCTCCTCCGCCCTCCTCCACCTCCTCCTCCTCATCCTCCTCTTCCTTCTCCTGCTCCTGCTCCTGCTCGTGCTCCTCCTCCTCCTCCTCCTCCTCCTCTCCTCCTCCTCCCCTCCTCATCATCATCATCATCATCATCAGCATCAGCATCAGCATCATCATCATCATCATCATCTTCATCATCATCATCATCATCATCATCATCATCATCAGCAGCAGCATCAGCATCATCATCCTCCTCCTCCTCCTCCTCCTCCTCCTCACCACCACCACCACCACCACATCATCATCATCATCAGCATCATCATCATCCTCATCATCATCAGCATCAGCATCAGCATCATCATCATCAGCATCATCATCATCATCATCATCATCATCATCATCATCATCAGCATCATCATCATCATCATCATCATCATCATCATCATCATCATCATCATCATCATCATCATCATCATCATCATCATCATCATCATCATCATCATCATTCATCATCATCATCATCATCATCATCATCATCATGTTTCTTTCCTTTTCCTCTTCCTCTTCCTCTCCTCCTCCGCCTCCTCCGCCTCCTCCTCCTCCTCCTCCTCATCCTCCAGCTCCTCCTCCTCCTCCTCCTCCTCCTCCTCCAGCTCCTCCTCCTCCTCTCCTCCTCCTCCTCCTCCTCCTCCTCCTCCTCCTCCTCCTCCTCCTCCTCCTCCTCCTCCTCCTCCTCCTCCTCCTCCTCCTCCCCCCATTCAGCCACTTTGGCTCAGGTGAGCCGCGCCTTAAAAGAGGCTCTCGCCAGCGCGCCAGCACTCGGCGCAGGCGCGCCGGCGGCTGCGATGGAAAACGGCATCGCCCTCGACGAGTCTGCCTGACGCCGACGGGCTGCAGCGAGCGCGCCGGCGCTCGGCCGCCGCCGTCGGCGTGGGTGCTGGGGCGAGCTCGGGCAGAGCCGCGGCGCAGCGCTGGCCCGGCGTGAGCAGCCTGCACGGCATGCACTGGCGGCGCAACTGGTGGCTCCCAGATGCTCTCGGCAGCCACTGCCCTGCCACCGGGGGCTTGCCCCTCAGACCAGCAGAGCTCGTGGGAGCGGGTGCAGATCTTCTTCGGGAAGCGGAGGAGGCGTGCAGCGGTGCGGATTGAGTGTGGCACTCTCCGCCGCCAGGGCGCGACCAGCTGTCCAGATGCCCGAGCGCGCCCTCGGAGAGCCAGTTCAAATCGTTCCGCGCCGACCTCCACCTGACGCCGAAGGGGATCACCTACTCCGCGAGCTTGGCGTGCTGGATGCGGGAGCATCCCGCACCGACGAACACCTGCGTGAAGCTGGCAGTTCGGAAGTCCCACCTGAACGAGAAGAGCGACATATACAAAGCACACCTGCACACCACTCTCCAGATGCTGCAGGTGGCGGGGAGACTCCATGACGCTCTGCGCACCCACGACGCCTCTGGAGACCGACCAGGCACCGTGAACGAATCCGGATCGGAAATGGACGTCAACTCTAACCTGCTGAGAGCGAGACGGCTCCTCGAGATCGGGACGCTGGAGCTGAGCGAGAAGGAGGAGGGAGTGCGAGCAGAGCACCGAGCAGCTCTTGGAGTTCGAGGGGAAACCTACCGCTCTGGGCCACGAGCGTGCTCGCGAGCCGAAGACGGGCAAAAGTCAGCTGGTAAAGGACCTCGAGACCGTGATGCTGACGCTAAACGAGACGAGGAAGGCAGAGGGGCGCATCAAGTCGCTGGACCAGAAGCCACACCACCTGGCCTGACGTAAGAGGCATTCGAGCTGAAGAGCGACAAGTATCCCAGCAAAGAACCCAACACTATGCAATTCAGAATAACGCGTCGAGCTACCGTTGTCGGTGAAGCCCCCCGTATGGGGCCACGAAGCATGTGAGGGGTGTGCTGAAATGGACGGAGAACCGCATGCGAACCCTGCCACTCAGGCCTTCGGTGGAACTCCCTATGGGGCCACACAACGTGTAAGGGGTGTGTCGGAATGGACAGGCAATCGCATGCGAACCCTGGTACTCAGGCCTTCGGTGGAGCTCGCTATGGGGCCACGAAGCGCGTGAGGGGTGCGACGAACTGGTCGTGCGGAGACCAAAGGGAGCGGTGGGGGGAGGGAGGGGCGGGAGGGGGGAGGAGGAGGAGGAGGGAGGAGAGAGGAGGAGGAGGAGCGCCGAGTCCCTAGTTTGGACCAAACGAAAACCTCGATCCTCGAAGATCGAACGTCCTCGGTCCTCGATCTTCGCCTTTCTGCTCCTCCTCCTCCTGCTCCTGCACCTGCTCCTGCTGCTCCTCCTCCTCCTCCTCCTCCTCCTCCTCCTCCTCCTCCTCCTCCTCCTCCTCATCATCATCATCATCATCATCATCATCATCATCCTCGGCGACGACCACGACGATGACAAAAGGCGCGCGCGCGCGCGGTTCCTGCGGCAAGCCAGCTCGGGAACGACCACCCGCAGGTTCGACGAGGCCGGCACCATCAGCTGCGGACACAGCGGCACCAACGCCGGAGGGAGGGGGGATGGAGGAAGAGGGAGAGAGGGAGGGAGGAAGGAGGGGAGGGAGAGAGGGAGGGCGAGAGGAAGGGGGAGGAAAGGAGAAGGCAGGGGGAGGGAGGGGGAGGGAGGAGGGGGGGAGGGAGAGAAGGGGCAGGGAAGGAGGGAGCGAGGCTGGGAGGGAGGGAGGAGGGAGGGAGGGAAGAAGAGGTTGCGATTGCGGGGACTTCGGGCTTACGACCACACACGCGTGGCCCTGGCCAGCGGGGGCCAGCGACGGACCTGACCGACGCTGGACCTCCGACCGTCTCCAGAGCGCCGGGTACCCCCGGCCAGGGGGCACCAACGCCGCCCTCCACGCCGGGCCTCACGATGAAGGGCTCCCCGCCGTGCGTGTTCGAGCCCACGGCCCATGGCCTTCTCCACAGCCTCCTGCCCCGCGTCGTAGACCACCGCGACGGCCGCCCTGGCGGGCTCTACTGCTTGCTGCAGCCAGCTGCACCTTGAGGTCGGAAAGCGTTGCACACGTGGCCATGGTGGCGGTAGTGGGGTCAATAGTGGGGTCCCGGTCCATCTGCTTGTCGTCGCTCCTCGACTCGATCGTGCAGTCCACTTGCGCCTTGGAGCCAAAGGGCCTCGCACCTTCATGTCTCATCTGCACAGCCTCCAGCGCGTCGATATCGTGCTCCATCTTCTGAAGCTTCTCAAGCATGCACTGGACGCCATCTTCACTCGCCTGGGACTTCATGCTCTGGACGTCCTTGCACACAGTTAGCTGAGCTGGAGAGGTTTTCCTGTTTCCCTCCATACCCAGCCCCGCCATGAACCGAGCGACGTCCCCAGGGAGCCCAAGGTCGATATGTGCCGCCATGTGGCGGGCCTTGCTTGGGCGCCCCAACCGCGAGGCGAGCGTCTGCCCGCCATGGCGCCGCAGCAAGCCCGTGGCCTGTGTGGGAGCGCGCTTGTCCCACAAGTCCGCGCCGCTCTGCACCGCAACGAGCACCTCAGCCTGCCACTCCAGCGGGACCCCAGGCTGGGAAGCCTCTACCACCCCCTCTTCTATCCCGGGAGGCCTGCTGCCTGTGCCGTCGACTACTCCTCGGAAGCATCGGAGGAGTCACCTGCGGCGGCTCGGGTCCGCTGCCGCAAACGCTATCGCTCGATCGTCCCTGGCACGCCAGCCTCGGTGAAGCCGCATGCCACCAGCACCTCCGCACTGCTCAACCCATGCCCGCCGGGGCTGCAGCTGGCCCTGGTGCCGGCCTCTGGAGCGGTCGCGGAAGCGCCACGCGACGCAGCTCCCCAAACACTGGGCCAAGCCCTCGGGCGTGGGCTTGAGGGACGACGAGGGCACTCAAGTCCAGCACTGTCGGTGCCCTGGGTGGCGGCCGTCCGCTGGCCGCTGCCTCTGGGACTTGAGCGGGCCGGTGGTCGATTCACGGCATGTGCCCTCCAAGCTCCGCGGGGGGGGGGGGGGGCTTGCCCGGGGCGGTGGCATCGGCGGCCTTCAGCTGATGGCTGGGCGCTGCCCCTCCTCTTCCTGTTCCTCCTCCTCGTTCTTTGGGCTGAGGGTCGCCATTGTGGCTCTGATCCCCCTGGCAAAGCTCAGCAGACTGAGTCACCAGAGGTCCTCGACCGACGGACCAGCCAGCCTCCTCCTCCTCCTCCTCCTCCTCCTCCTCCTCCTCCTCCTCCTCCTCCTCCTCCTCCTCCTCCTAGTGTTCCTCCTCCTTCCCCATCCGTTTTCCTTATAAACGACTCCTCCCTGTCGCGCCCCGCGACGTGTCAGTAGGGCGGGCCGGCCGTTTCGCCTGAGACTTCCTCACCAATCATGATCCCCAAGCTCGCCAATTAAAGCAGTGTAGCGGATGGAGGGCGGATGGTATTCAGAGTGTGACTCTCGCCTTAGCGCCGCGCAAATTTGTTGGCGGGCCGTTTTCACAGTGTGGTTATCGCCTGAGCGCCGCGCACACTCGTCTGTAAAGTTCGCAAGAGTTCCACGGACGGAAGGCGGGCAATGTTCAAGCGTCGTTCTCGCCCTAGCGCCGCACACATTCGTCTCCAAAAGTTCGCAAGAGTTTCGCTAATGGAGGGCGGTTCCTTTTCAAAATGCGGCTCTCGCCTTAACGCCGAGCATCTTCGTCTTACAAATTTACAGCAGCTGCACAGCATCGAATGGTTGACGTCCTAAAAGCATGTTTTGGCACGAGGTAGGACTGTTAGGACGCAGCAGTAATGTTAATTCGCGCCAGTGACGTCCCAGGAATGGTGTTCTGGCGCGGTTCAGGAATTTCAGACGGTCGTCCTCCAACGGGGCATTTCCCTGAGTGAGAATGAATCCGTGTAGGGACCTATGGAAAGAGAGAGCTTGGAGGGAGCGTGTATCGCAGCATCGCTGACAAGTCTAGGGTTTACACTGGCTTCCTCCTTGGGCAGCCCTAGCCTCCCTGAGGACACCTTGCGCCTGGCCCGGGGGCCCCTTCACAGCCCCCGGGAGCGCTGCGGTCTCAGGGTCGGCCCCCCCCCCTCCCCCCGCCACTCCCGCTCGGCGCGTCGTGCCGCGTCGCCCTCTTGGGCGCCCGTCGCAAGGCCCTCCAAGGCATCGCAATCCTTAGTCCCTTCGTCGGCTAAGTGCGCGTGGAGCTCTCCCGTTCACCACGCGGCTTCGCCTGTGACGTCGAAGGGGGTCCTCGCTCGCTCCTCGGGCTCCGCTGGAATGCCGTGGATGGCTGCCCCTACCTTTGCCCAGCAGTCTGCTGCAGCGTTACCCGCGCGCGCACATGCAGTGGGGAAGGAGGAGGGAGGGATGGAGGGATGGAGGGAGGGAGGGAGGTAAGGGAGGGAGGGAGGGAGGGGAGGGGAGGGGAGGGAGGGAGGGGAGGGAAGGGAAGGGAGGGGAGGGGAGAAAGTAGCCCTGACATCATCACTGCGCGGGAGAACCACGACGGAAGAACGTGTTGCTCGGCCGCCAAGGGGCCCTTCCCGCGCCCCGCGAGGTCAAGTAACGACTCGGGCTGCAAAGCTGGTCCCCAGGAAGAGGTCCAGACCTCTTGGGGGTCACGATGGGTGTTGCACGAAGATATATATATATATATATATGTGTAAACAAACAATTAATTACCCCAGTGCGACCCTACCTAGGAGTTGGAGCCCCTAGGAAAGCAGCATTAGTAGTAACGGTAAACGCCGTCCTCCTCCTTCTGCTCATCGTCGTAGTTGCCTTTGCTTTTGCTTGTGTTTGCGTTTGCTTGGTTTTGCTGTTGCGTTGCCTTCGCACACACACGCGCATGTTTCTGCATTCGCTCACCGGGTGGGCACTATGATCATACTGTTGCACATTGCTTGTGATTTGCCTTTCCTTTGTGTTGTTGGTGATGTTGCATTTGCTGTGCGTTGCTTTGCGTTGCTAGTGAATTGCTTTGCTGTTGCTGCTGTTGATTTGCCTTTGATTTGCTGTTATGATATGATATGATATGTTATGCTACGCTATGCTGCACTATGGTATGCTATGCTATGCTACGCTATGCGATGCTATGATGCGCTATGTTATGCTAGGCTATGGCATGCTATGCTATGATGCGCTATGCTATGATATGTTGTGCTATGCTGCGCTATGCTATGCTATGATATGCTATGCCATGCTATGATATGCTGTGCTATTCTATGATATGATGAGCTATGCTATGCTATGCTAAGCTATGCTACGCTACGCTATGCTATGTTGTGCTCTGCTATGCTAAAGCTCAGCGAATCTAAGATGAAGGTAAGCTGAATTAAGATAAACTCAAGCTAATATGAAGGTAAGTTAAGCTAAGATAAACCTGAGCTATGATGAAGCTAAGCTAAGCTAATATGAAATAAGCTCAGCTGAGATGAGATAAGCAACGCTAAGCTAAGGGAACGTAACTGGGGGAACCGCGGGACATATACTGGGGAACCCGACCTGGGCGCGTTCAACTGCCCGGCCCCTTTAAGCACACCGAGTAAGAACCCTTCTAGGCAGAGCCTAAGTAGGGAAGTACACATGTATATATATATATATATATATAAACATGTACGCCGGATGTCTGGAAAGTTCGAGGTTCGACTTTCGATACTTTCGTTTGGTTGTTTGCCCGCTCGTTGCCAATCTCCAAAGGCCTCCTCGTCGCCACGGTTGGTTGTCCCTTAAAACCGCTGTCAAAACGCACCCCCCTGAGAGGTCCGAGAAGGCGGTTTGTGATAGGAGATGAAAGGGAAGGGTCAAGCGCAAGGGAGAGATGAGGGCGGGGAGAAGGAGGAGAAGTGGGGGAGAAGCAAGAGCAGCACGAGGAGGAGGAGGAGAAGGAGGAGGGGTGGAGAAGCTGGAGGAGGAGGAGGAGCAGCAGCAGCAGCAGGAGCAGGAGGAGGAGGAGGAGGGGGAGGGAGGCGGGATGAGGGGGAGAAGGGCGGAGAAGGGAGGGGAGAGAGGTTAGCTAGGTGCGCTCGCGTCTAGGTGCGCTCGCGTCATATCTGACGTCCTACCCCTCCCTCCCATCCCTTACCATGGCGTAGATGTCCTCTAGATTCGCACAGTCGGATGTCGAGCAAGGAAATAACCTCGAGAGGATACGCGATGCATGGTAGAGCACGGCATGGCATGGCGTAGAAGAGCACGGCAGAGTGTAGCATGCCAGAGCATGGCGTGGAATTGCGCAGTGAAGCATTGTATCACAAAACGTTGCAACGCAAGGCATGGCGTCGCACAGCGACGCAGACCACGACACCGCACAGCATGTCATGGCATGGCGCCGGGTTCCTTGGAGGGTGAGTGGATCGTTTTCGAGAGGTCTGGGCCGGTCTGGAATCGTGGCCTTTGGGCTCCCCGAAAATCTTCACACAAGGCGGGGCTGATGGAGAGCACACGCTGGCTCTGCTTTCAAACTCCTCTTCTCAGAGCAGAACCAGGGCTCCCGTTTGACACTTCCTGAAAGCGACGACGCCCCAAAGTGTGGGCCTCTGCGGCCCGAAAAATTAACGAATCGACACCGAATGTGTAATCACTTCCGATGATTTCTGCTGGGGGGCAATTTCGAAATTTTAGGGCCGAATTGGAAGGACCGAAAGCGCCTGCGCTGCAGCGGGAGCATGATTCAAAACAACCA